GATTTATTCAGGTTCAGGCTCTGAATCTCTACTCACTGGGGCTCTTTTTAATGTAAAATGAATTGCTTGGTTCAATCAAAAGTATACATACAAATAGAGACTAAACGTAAGTCTAATCCACGAAAGGCAAACTACAACACAACACAAAGCACCACTGCCTCGAATCAATACATTGTCCAAACAGTTGTGGTTAAGTATGTCAAAGAACGATTTTCCATACGCTTGACCCAAATGATATCGTTGCCCTGATGTGTTTGGATAGCCTATATGCTCATGTTCAGTAATGGTCCACTCAAACGTCCTGTTTAAACCTGGGTCAAACCTTTCAATGAGTAAACATTGATCTTTATTAGAGTGGTAGATCTATGACATGATTCCAAATCTGGAGCGGTTGCAAAAGGAAATATTAGATTCCTCACTCAAGCGTCGCTTAAACATATATTTTAATAGGAGGTTGTGGTCCCTAGTTTGTTTACACTTCTGCGACTGTAACTTTCCGAGCTGTATATATTTAAAGTATTTTATTTTATTTTCGTGATTGGCATAAATAGTGTCCAGAGAAAAAACAACCTTTGATCAACTTAGTGAGAGACTATTGCAAATGTCTCCAAGACGTTTCCAATCCAAGAAAATACATGTCTTGTCTGTGAAAGTTGTTTGTGGAATTCATAAGCATTTACAATGGGACTAAATGTACTATTTATACCTACGTAAGGCAATGCACAAGGATATATATTTACCGACGGTCCGTGCATTCTCCCAAGAATACTTGCAATCTTGGCAGAGTGATACAGCTACTTGAAAACTAAGCTAATTGGTAGGAAGAAAGGGAGACACTTATCTGTTGTGGGATGAAACGTTTTATCATACTTGCTTGTTGTTTAACGTCACACTCAGCACGTCCAGTGATCAACGTCATGAGCATCGATCTTCGAGTTGTGATACGACGACATGTGTCATCCAGGTCAGCGAGCCTGACCACCCGATCCCGTTAGTCGAAGCATGGGTTGCTGAAGACCAATTCTAACCTGGACCTTCACGGGTAGCCGTTTAGCATCGGAATGAGTTAGTCAGTGCATACTATGTTTCGTTTATTTATTCAAGTCAAAGGTCACAGGCCAATAGGACGTACATTAACAGCATATATACACAGTTGGTTATACATCAGTACATAATTGATAAATAATTCCACAAGGTTGTATTATAGTAATACACAATACATGATAATAATATTATTGATGTAACGATGGGTAAAGTTTAAATGCTAAAAATATATACTTACTTAGATTTAATACCGTTCAGTACATACATGAACTTACGGAATGGTGACATTCTGAAACCTATCACTCATAGAACTGAATATATCAGTTGTTAGATATTGTATTGGTTGTCGCCACAGGTTGAATCTTGAAGCCACCCACTGATATAAGGGAATAATCAGTAACTGTATATTGTGTTGTTTGATTTGTTGCAACATGTTGACATCTTTGATTTAAGGGAATAGCAGTAGCTTGGTATTGTATTGGTTGTTGCCGCATTTTTCAATCCCAGAAACATGGCCATTCTCCGAAATTCATGACGGAGTAATTAGCGAAAGCTTTGAGTTGCAATTATTTGCGAAATTCGTGTTGGAAAATAAAGATGCGCATGTGTATACTATATGAAATAGTTGAACCGCTGTGTTTGTTTGTTTGTGACGGGTATCAATCAAGTCAAAACCAGACAATCCAGTGATACAGTATGACAACTTCCAATTTGCTGACAAACAACTGATTTAAAAAGAAACACGTTACTTGTATTATCATCGGGTAGATATATGATACCAAAAGGCATTGACTCATTAACATCACGCCTGTTATAAAGATGGAACCATGAACAATTTCGTATGCCTTGGCATATACCTCCACATTATTCCCATCGTCGATGGAGAGACAGAACAAGATCTATAGCTCCAACACTACATGAAGCCTCCGCATAACACACAAGTCCTGTTCTTCAACATTTGACAGGGTCAACAGTATTGACATGCGACATACATTAGTCATTTATAAAGATACCCTAAATTACTATCAGTTTGAGTAATATATTTAATATTTTACAAGTGCATTTTTATTCACACATTTTTCTTTCGTTTGACTGATGATCTGTATGCTTGGATGAAATGTCATATTGGCGAACAGACACACAAATCTACTTTTTCCAAAGAGCAGTATTTAATATGTTGATGCCCCTGTCTTACGTGATGTTGTATGTATTGATACACAACAATTGTGACGTTTCTGGTGGACAACAATCTGTTGGGTATCATATACAAACTCAACAGCAACGGCTCGTCAGGATCCAGTAATAGGTAACCTCATCAGCTGTACAGTATTACCTGTCTGGCTATCGATATAGAATCGATAATCGTTAGTTAAATATCGATCGATTATCGATAAATATAGGGAAAATAACTAACCAAAAACGCCAAAAAGGTCTCAAAGAAATGCATAGATATCACATCACTGGTGAGTGGTGACATGTAGCCATGGGTTACAGACAGAACGACCTCCTGAACATAATTTAGAAGCAACTCATCAATCAAAACCGAACTTTGTGTATTGTGTGAGTAAATTACAACCTTTTTAGATCACAAAAGTGTGTGAATGATATTATCGATGACGCTATTTTCATATCAATGTTCATTAGTAAGTTTTCCTATCGACGATATTTTCGATTATCGATCATTTTAGCCAGCCCTATAATCATCACATTGTGCGCGGTGTACATTGTGAATATAACTGGATGCTTCCTAGAGCATCAGCTAAAGATTAAACAACTGTGCAACATGTGCAGACTGAACACTAGCCCTACAGTCATGTTAGTAGTGAATGTCGTATTAAAAGGAAAATTGTCTGATTTTCCTAACAGGTATATCGATTTAAACTTTGCAGTGGTCACGTTTTCAAAAGTAACAAACGTTTCCTTCTTGCGTGTACAATCCTGAACACAAAATACCTTTCAGAAAGATGTCAAATGTAACACATGTTATATTTGGGATTACACTTTCTCAGTTGTTTACAGATTCGTTTACGTTTTGGAGATGAGTTTCATTCGGGATTCGAGAAAAGCACCTAATTGCCAGCACACGAAGTCAGCGATCTAACCCACTCAGCCGGCGCCATTTCACTGAGTCTTAAAAACCTCAACATACCAAATCCCCATGTGAACAAATCCAGTATTGCCTACGTATGCGATTACCCATCACACCCATGCCCTCAACAAAGCTTGCATAAAGGGCGTTTCTGAAATGTTGCTCTAGTTCCGAAGACACCGTCCTACCATGAGCCAAGCACAATAACCCTGAAGTTGCCCCCAAGCATGATTTAGAAATATTGTGAAATGCTCATTGCGAAATATGATAGAAAGGTGTGCTTGTGTGGGTGACGAAATCAAGACCAAAGTCCAATCATACAACGTCCACCTCAGATAAAAAGACAATCTCGACTGTCTGTCTGAACAACTTTGAAAGGTAATACATGTATAGATGAAATATTGACAACTGGATCCTCAGAATAAGAATCGTAATAAGCAGTTTGGAAATGAAGAAGAGACTAACTCGGGGTACGCTTAATGGCAGACACTCAATAGTTCTGGCTTATGTCCATGGAAGAGACAGTGACGGTAAACGTTTGTGCAAAGTTATACAAACAAATCCTCTGATGACGACACCATTATGCGTTTTAGAGTGTTGATTGAATTTTCTTTAATCTTGTCTAGTTTGCATCATTGTTATCGACTTAATAAAGCAGACATATGGCAGAAACCTCTTTCACCTTCGGTAAGAGTAATGACTACGGAGCAGAGAAGTCACTCATTCGTAACCGTTGTGTTCATTCGTAGTTACTCGTCCTTTCCCGTAACCATGCCCGTGAGAAATATTCCCCCAGCCAATCCGAATGCGCGTATGTAGAGACGAAATTTTCATTTCGGCTTGCATAATAGTTTCCCCAGACACGGTACTTATGATGTTGATCACTGGATTGTGTGGACCCCCCACCATGTAGCTGGAATATTGCTGAGTGTGTCGTTTAACAACAAACAAACAAACAAACATGATTCGACAGATTCCATGGTAAATAATGGCAAATACTCCATGCTTGCCGTAGGTGAAGACTGATGGATGTGATCTGACCAGTGCGGGGTAACAACCGAACTTGGTGCCGGTAACAATACTGTTGTCAATAACAGTATCGGGATTACTGAATTCCTGTCAGACAGCTAAACGTTCAATCAGTCTCTTAGAACTGCCACTACACCGACAGCATGTCACATATTACTTGGTACAACAAGGACTATTCGGCTCGGAGTCAGTATAATGTGTCTGAGTTGGGTATTCATGCTTCATTGCGGCATGGTATCTCAGTGAGCTAGCACTATAAAACCAGCTTAAATCTGGGTAGTACAAGATGCCGCACATACACATACACACGCATGCACGTCGTCATATGAGCGAAATATTCTCAAGCACGACATTAAACCCAATTTCACCTCACCTCTGAGAACTGCCACTACACCGACAGAATGTCACATATTACTTGGGGACGATATAGAAAAGGAACTCATAACATACATATTCAAACACGAAGGGGGGCGATAGGGTACCCTACTGGTTAAAGCATTCGTTCGTCACGCCTAAAACCGGGTTCGATTCCCCACATGGGTACAATGCGCAGAGCCAATTTCTGGTGTTCCCCTGGATATTGCGGGAATATTGCTAAGATCGGCGTAAAACTAAACTCACTCACTCAAAAATGAAGATTTGACAAACATTCTTTGAAGGATGACAGAGGCACAAACACGACACAAACCTTTAGAATGTTAAGGAAGTTTGTGATTGGAATATGCTCGTATGTTCAACATTATCCAATCGTGCGCCCAGTATCATTCGAACTTATGAATAAATACACACAGACCAATTATTGCAAAATATATTTTATCTTCAAATATCCCCCTCTGTATCCTGGACATAATGTTTTAATTAGGTAAAGATACCGAGCATCAACAGAGTGACCAGTAGGTAGACCGTCATGATGGCTGGAGTACCAACAGAGTTCACGTACGGGTATTGGATTGCTTCTGGACCTGTAAATAAGTCATTAAGATGTAATTATTGTTATTACATGATACAATGTAACGCTATTGACCCAGAGCATAGCAACAATGTACACCTGACCAGGTGTGTAATATTTATCATGTAAAACCCTTGTAACCAAGTGTTGGCTGGAAACTTTTCTGTTTACAAAATGTAATTCCAACGACCGTTTTGTCGACATGTAAACATTAAGAGACTATTGCTGGATAAAAGATCGATAATCGGAAATACCGTTGATAGGAAACGTTATTAAGGATTTTTTGCTATGAAAATAGTGTCATCGATATATGTACACTTTTGTGATTTAATATAGTTATAAGAGACGTTAGAGGCGACAAAGGGGATCGGGTGGTCAGGCACGATGGCTTGTTTGACACATGTCATCGTATTACAGTTTTGTAGATCGATGCTCATGATGTTGATCACTGGCTTTTCTGGTCCAGGCTTGATTATTTACAGACCGCCGCCATATAGCTGCAATATTGCTGAGTGCGGCGTTAAAGAACAACGCACCCAAGCAACCATGCAAGACAAATCACAAGGGTACGTAGCATAATTGCCATATTTAACACGTGATTGCATTAACATGCATGTTCTAACGTTTAGTTGTAATGTATCCTGTGCAGAAAAGGAAATATACTGTCCCACTGTATTAAGGTCACGTTTAGCTCAAGGTCTTCCAGCCATTAGGTATCGTTCCATGGCGAACATTGGTGAAAATACTGAATAGAATATATTTCTTACACGTATGGTCCAGGTCCCTTGATTCCATCATCTGTCTGGCTTGCGTGAAGGCAGGGTTGTTAATACACGCTGTCAGTCTGTTGAGACACATCACAAACGTGTGGGCAGCTCTGCAGGGAACCAGTTCAGAGAATCAGTTAAAGGAATCAGTTAAGGGAATCTGTTAAGGGAATCTGTTTTGAGAATCAGGACGTGCAATATGAGTGAGTGAATGTGGTTTTACGCTGCTTTTAGCAACTATCCAGCAATATCACGGCGGGGGACACCAGAAATGGGCTTCAGAGATTGTACCCATGTATGGAATCGAACCCGGGTCTTGGGCGTGACGAGCCAACACTTTAACCTCCAGGCTACCCCACCGTCATGAACGATAATCACAAGTGGTTATGGATATAACATGGGTCCTACATTCACACGCAGTGTTATAACTCTGAGCCATCAGGTGGTTTATACCCCAGTGGCATGTGCCAGTCCGGGTAACAACAACCAGCATCCATCAACGTTTGTTGTAATGGCGAGGATCGACTGACTGACTGACTGAGTTTGGTTTTACGCCGCTTTTAGCAATATTCCAGCAACATCATGATGGGGGGACACCAGAAATTTGGCTTCAGGCGAGGATCGAACCTCCGACATTCTGCTTTCCGGAAAACACTTTATCCATGAGGCCAAAGGGGCAGGCTGTATATACTAAAATGTAGATCCTGATCGCACTGGAATAGTTGTTCCAACCATATACAGTAGCGGAAAGCACACGAAACTACTGTTTTGTTTCATTTACAATCATAACATTTCTATATCAGCGTAAAAGACGAATAGAAATAAAATCATTTAAAAGTTCCTCGTTATCAATAATTGTATTATTTCGACAATTATGTTAAAGTTACGTTCTCGTGTTTTTCAGGTGACCAATTGACGTGCCTTTGCGTGTGTTTGTGACAGCCATGATGGTCACGAACACCTGATATACTTCCAGTAGCGAAATCCAGATATGATGCTGAGTCATAAACACACACTTAGAATATATATAGTTGGAATTGCTTAAAGTGTTTTGTCGCTTTACACGTTGGAACGTTATCACACCTGCATATGGTGTCAGTGGTCTCTGTTCCGTTGCCGATCGAGTCAGTGAGGCTGGTGGTGCAATCGTTTATGTCGACGACGCTGCATTCACTCTGGGACATTGCTGTAGCTGCACATGCTGAAGGATGTGTCAATCACAAAAGTCATTAGAACAGATTTTAGAATCTAATTGTGAATAATTGTAGCGTTATGGCATGTCATATGATGCTCGCTTAGTCACTGTTGTTCGTTAGAAACACCGGTATTGATATACAACACGCCTAATAAATACACAATAACCAATGTATGAAACAATCACACACAATATACGGAACAGCAAAGCACTGTTCTTCAACTAGAGACGTGCAAGGGAGTTACATGAACAGCGAATGCACAACATACAAAATATACACTATGCACAGCGAACATTACAACACCAGACTAAACATACTCGCCATGAACAAAGTACTCAGTATAAGCACCATTAACAGCATAGTAACTAGATGCATGACACAGTTAACGTACAACACACAGCAGATTCAGTATTTTCACCACCACACAGCATATGAAGTATTTTCACCACACAGCATGTACTGTATTTTCATCACACCCAGCTTATGCAGTATTTTCACCACACCCAGCATATTTTATTTTCACCACACATAACATATACATCATATTCACCATACAGAGAATAGTATTTTCACCAAGTACAGCATATCCAGTATTTTCACCACACAGCATGTACAGTATTTTCAGCACACACAGCATACACAGTATTTTCACCACACAGCATGTACAGTATTTTCAGCACACACAGCATATACAGTATTTTCACCACACCAGCATACACAGTATTTTCACCACACAGCATACACAGTATTTTCACCACACAGCATATACAGTATTTTCACCACACATAACAGCATGTACAGTATTTTCACCACACAGCATACACAGTATTTTCACACACAGCATATCAGTATTTTCACCACACAGCATATACAGTATTTTCACCACACACATACAGTACAGTATTTTCACCACACACAGCATACACAGTATTTTCACCACACAGCATACACAGTATTTTCACCACACACAGCATATACAGTATTTTCACCACACCCAGCATACACAGTATTTTCACCACACAGCATACACAGTATTTTCACCACACAGCATACACAGTATTTTCACCACACAGCATATACAGTATTTTCACCACACAGCATATACAGTATTTTCACCACACACAGCATACACAGTATTTTCACCACACCCAGCATACACAGTATTTTCACCACACAGCATACACAGTATTTTCACCACACACAGCATATACAGTATTTTCACCACACAGCATATACAGTATTTTCAGCACACACAGCATGTACAGTATTTTCACCACACACAGCATATACAGTATTTTCACCACACAGCATACACAGTATTTTCACCACACAGCATACACAGTATTTTCAGCACACAGCATATACAGTATTTTCACCACACAGCATATACAGTATTTTCAACACACCCAGCATATACAGTATTTTCACCACACAGCATATACAGTATTTTCACCACACAGCATACACAGTATTTTCACCACACACAGCATGCATTCACCACACAGCGCATATACAGTATTTTCACCACACAGCATATACAGTATTTTCAGCACACACAGCATACACAGTATTTTCACCACACACAGCATATACAGTATTTTCACCACACACAGCATACACAGTATTTTCACCACACACAGCATATACAGTATTTTCACCACACAGCATACACAGTATTTTCAGCACACAGCATATACAGTATTTTCAACCACACACAGCATATACAGTATTTTCACCACACACAGCATATACAGTATTTTCACCACACAGCATACACAGTATTTTCAGCACACATAGCATATGCAGTATTTTCAGCACACACAGCATGCATGTACAGTATTTTTCAGCACACACAGCATATACAGTATTTTCACCACACAGCATATACAGTATTTTCACCAACACAGCATATACAGTATTTTCACCACACCCAGCATACACAGTATTTTCACCACACAGCATATACAGTATTTTCACCACACAGCATTTACAGTATTTTCACCACACACAGCATATACAGTATTTTCACCACCAATCCAGCATGTACAGTATTTTCACCACATAGCACACACAGTATTTTCAGCACACACAGCATTTTCACCACAACACACAGCATGTACAGTATTTTCAGCACACAACATACACAGTATTTCACCACAGCATTTCATATACACACCACACAGCATACACAGTATTTTCACCACACAGCATATACAGTATTTTCATCACACAGCATATACAGTATTTTCAGCACACACAGCATACACAGTATTTTCACCACACAGCATGTACAGTATTTTCACCACACAGCATATACAGTATTTTCAGCACACACAGCATACACAGTATTTCCAGCACACAGCATGTACAGTATTTTCCCCACACAGCATGTACACTATTTTCACCACACAGCATATACAGTATTTTCACCACTCAGCATATACAGTATTTTCAGCACACACAGCATGTACAGTATTTTCAGCACACAGCATGTACAGTATTTTCATCACCCTGCATATACAGTATTTTCACCACACACAGCATATACAGTATTTTCACCACACCTAGCATACACAGTATTTTCACCACACAGCATATACAGTATTTTCACCACACACAGCATTTACAGTATTTTCACCACACAGCATGTACAGTATTTTCACCACACAAAGCATGTACAGTATTTTCACCACACAGCATGTACAGTATTTTCACCATATACACAGTATTTTCACCACACAGTATTTTCACCACACACATATACAGTATTTTCACCACACACAGCATACACAGTATTTTCACCACAGCATACACAGTATTTCAGCACACACAGCATTTACAGTATTTTCACCACACACAGCAGACACAGTATTTTCACCACACAGCATATACAGTATTTTCACCACACAGCATATACAGTATTTTCACCACACACAGCATATACAGTATTTTCACCACACACAGCATTATACAGTATTTTCAGCACACACATCATATACAGTATTTTCACCACACACAGTGTTTTCATATCACATTTTCACCACACACCACACAGCATATACAGTATTTTCACCATACAGAGAATAGTATTTTCACCACACACATAGCATATCCACAGTATTTTCACCACACAGCATGCAATAGTATTTTCACCACACATTATTTTTCATATACCGTATTTTCAGCCACACACAGCATATCCAGCATTTTCACCACACAGCATATACAGTATTTTCACCACACAGCATATACAGTATTTTCACCACACAGCATATACAGTATTTTCACCACACAGCATGTACAGTATTTTCACCACACAGCATATACAGTATTTTCAGCACACACAGCATACACAGTATTTTCACCACACAGCATATACAGTATTTTCAGCACACACAGCATACACAGTATTTTCACCACACAGCATGTACAATATTTTCACCACACACAGCATATACAGTATTTTCACCACACAGCATGTACAGTATTTTCAGCACACACAGCATACACAGTATTTTCACCAACCACAGCATATGCAGTATATTCACCGACCACAGCATGTACAGTGTTTTTACCACACAGAATATACAGTATTTCCACAACACTCATTGTATAATTTATATTTACAACACCGCGATATCCACATATTCACCTTACGTCATATACAACACACACGATATATTCACAACACACATAAAATACATCATCTTCGCCCTTGACAGTTGATGCTAGAAGATAAACAACTGGTCTGACCTGAAAGTATGACAATTGTATAAAGTTTCCACATTTTGTCAGGGTACGGCAAACAACCTCTGTCTTCCAGCCAAGTTAAAATGAAATTCAGGATATCAAACCATCAACAGCTATTGCGAAATCCTGGGAACGGGTAGCTGTATTGGGCGTGTGTGAGAATATGTGTACTCTGCTCTATTTAAATAAGGCTAGTAAGGTTCAGGTTACTGTACCCTCAACGCTGGTACTGTGTTGAATTCTCCATCATAAGGGATAAATATTTTAATGTTAAAACTGTTAAGGATCTTTTTAGTACTGTTCATGTTCATTTAATTCTTGCTTTTTTAAAAAAAAATGATTTAATTAATGAATTTTGATAAAGATGTTCTGTACATATCTGTATTTTAATTATTGGTAGATTTGATTAGTAACTTAGATTGTTAGTGGCTGTACCCTCAAATGGGGTTGAAGTATTGTAAAATTATTGTCCTCCTGAGAGGGTACGTAAGTCCCAAAACATTTCAAGTACATTTAAGTATACCAGGTGTTTTAATCGTGGTATTTTTGTCATTTTAAAGTATGGCTAATTATCGGTATAAACGCCAATGGCTGAAGGGATGGTGTAAATCCAGCTAGGGTCCATGCAGGTAGCAAAGGTAATGTAAGTCCCCATGGGCCTTAGTATGGTGATCTACCTTCAGTTGTTGGCGATCTATAGCCCATTTTTACATTGTATTGTCCTCCTTAATAGAATATTTTAGCTTTGTTCGCTAGTTTTATATTCATATCTGTGATTATCTAGTATTTTTACTGTCCGTCGTCGGCAGGTTTTTATAATATCTATATATATTCTATTTCAATGTCAAATGTTCTCGTCACGATATGGCTGAAATATTGCCGATGTGACGTTAAATTTTAACTCACTCACTCACTCACTCAACGCTGGTGGTTTTGTACGAATGTTATGTGCGACTCAATGGCATGTGAATGTTTATCAATGCAATACTTAGTATATTCATTTCAGGATTGCAGTTAAAACTGCATGTTAACTTTATTACGACTCATTGCAAAGCAAAGTGGGTTTATAATATTGCTTGTTTGTTGTTTAACACCACACTCCTGTATCCCAGCTATGTGGAGGCGGTCTGTAAATAATCGAGTCTGGACCAGACAATCCAATGATCAACATCATGAGCATCTATTTACGCAACTGTGATACGATGACTACCTGATCTAGTGTATTGTACAAGAATCACCAAACATATATATGTAA